GTGGTGGTGGTGCAAACCTTTTAAACCCAGAGCAGCGCTCAGGGAACAGAGGCAGGCGGTTCTTTGAGTCTGAGGCCAGCCTGGTCTGTATAATTCCCAAGACAGTCAGGGCTACCTTGTCTCTGAAAAACAAAAAACAAGCCGGGTGGTGGTGGTGGTGCAGGCCTTTAAACCCAGCACTCAGGGAGGTACAGGCCGGTGAACTCAGTGAGTTCAAGGCCAACTCTGGTCAGCAAAGCTAGTTCCAGAAGAGAGAAACCCTGTCTCAAAAAACCAAAACAAAGAAACAAACTAGAAGCCTGTGGGATAGGGTGGTGGTACACGCCTTTAATCCCAGTACTGAGGTAGAGGTGGTCAGAACGTTCTGAGTTCAAGGCCAATCAATGATATACCAGAGTTCTTAAAAGTCCAAAACTAGCCAAGCAGTGGTGGCACAGGCCTTCAATCCCAGCACTTGGGAAGCAGAGGAGGTGGATCTCTGAGTTTGAGACCAGCCTGGTCTACCGTGTCAGTTCCAGGATGGGCTAGGGCTACACACTAACACCTTGTCTTCAAAAACCAAAAATCAAAGGGGGGGAAAAAAAGAAAAAAGAAAACCCAAGGGCTGGAGAGATGGCTCAGCGGTTAGAGCACTGCCTGCTCTTCCAAAGGTCCTGAGTTCAATTCCCAGCAACCACATGGTGGCTCACAACCATCTGTAATGAGGTCTGGTGCCCTCTTCTGGCCTGCAGGCATACAAGCAGACAGAATACTGTATAAATAAATAATAAATAAATAAAAAAAGAAAAAAGAAAACCCAAAAAGAAGCAAGCAAAAATGGTGTCTTAGGCATATAGCCCGATGTTTCTAAAGGTCTGGTTTTCACACACACACACACACACACCCTCCCCCAGTAAACAAAAACAAAAAGAAAGGTAAGAAGGGAATGAGCAGAAAACTACTCCCTCACCCCGTCAAGAAAAAAAGTGACCAGTGAATATTAAGAAATCTACTTCTCTGCAGATTTCTTGCCAAATGTGAAGGTATATACTATCACCATTCCAGCACTTGGCAAAGGGCAGTCTTAGGTTACATAGGGAGAGCCATCTTACAACAAAGAGAAAAGAAAGGGAGGAGAGTGAATTTACTTCAGATAGGAAAATGAATCTGTTTTACAAGAAGGCCACCAGAGTTTTAACTATGAAGTCACTTTGAGTTGGGGTGGGAGGGTGGCTGTGGACCTTATGGTTCAAGAGTCCTCTTACTATACTAACTCTTTGTTTTTCCAGGCAGGGTTTCTCTGTGTAGCCCTGGAACTCACCAGGCTGGCCTCACACTCAGAGATCCGCCTGCCTCTGCAAGTGCTGGGATTAAAGATGTACGCCATGACGACCTGGCGTTACTACTAAACTCTTATTTCCAGGCCTCTTTCCTCTTTTTACCCCAACAAGAAAAACCAATTTACTATTCAGCCAGATCCCAATTTAAGTAAGTAAGTAAGGCTGAAAACAGGAGAAGTTAAAAATCAATGTGGTGGAGCTGGTGAGGAGGCTCAGTGGTTAAAGTATTTGCTACCAAACCCCACAGCCCACATGGTAGGATAGCTGTCTTCTGAGCTGCACCCACACCTGTGGCAAACACAACTACACCAAATAAAACTAAAATGGTAATTAAGTATAGATGCCTGAGACCTTGAGTTAAATCCCCCAGCACACAAGACAGCTGGTATCATCTAGATGCCTGATGCCACCCAGATCAACAGACAAGTCAAAGGGACCCACCAGTCAGAGACAACAGACACCACATTTGTTTTCATCAGTACCCAGATTATCAGCACCTAGGGAAAACAATGAGGACACCACTTCACAAAAATCACATAGGCCTGCTCCTATCTTAGAGCTTTAATCTATGGATTTATATGCAGCTGGCAAGTTTCTGATTAAAAAAAACATGATTTCAATGACAGGTGCGTGTAGTTTTCAGGGCAATTCAAATGATCTCAAATGATCTTATTTCAATTCTGAAGATTTAAACTCTTGTTTCTAACGAAACCCAAATGGCAACAAAATGGGATTTAGCCAGACATGGGGCACACACCGAATTCCAGCATTTGGGAGAGAGAGGCAGTCACATCTCTGTAAATTCTAATTACAGATGAGACTAATGAGACACTGTCTTATGGTTGTGGTGGGGGTGGTGTGGTGAGGGTGAAAAAGAAACACAAACAAACAAAAAACCCCAAAAATGGTTAAGCCCAACACTTGAAAGGCAGAAAAGGCAGAAGGATTTTGCAAGTTCAAAGACATCTTAAATTTCAAATAGTCCTAAGCCTGGCACAAAAAAATAAGTTTCTGTGGTATAATGGTACACACTTTAATCCCAGCACTTTGGAGGCAGAGGCAGGCGGATCCGAGTTCAAAACCAGCCTGATCTGTAGAATGAGTTCTAGGACAGCCAGATGACACAGAGAAACCCTGTCTTGAAAAACAAAACAAGAAACAAAATAAAAAATACATTATTTTGAGCCAGGTATGATGGCACAGGCCTTTACTCCCAGTACTTAGGAAGCAGGGGCAGGCGGACCTCTGTGAGTCTGAGGCCAGCCTGGTCTACAGCGCTAGTTCCAGGACAGAGGGACAGAGAGACAGAGAAAGAGAACACTGGCAATGGACACAAGTTCAGGTACTAGCACTAACAAGACAGCTCAACCATCTTGTAACCCCAGTTCCAGGGGGTCCAAAGCTCTCTTCAGGTGTCTATGGGCACCAGGCACACTTGTGATGCACAAATACATACACGCAGGCAAAATACTCATACACATAAAGTAGAACAATTAAAAACAAAGTTTTTTTTTAAGGGAAAAGAAAATGTGGGCACAGGAACAACTCTACACAAGAGGAAAAAAATTCCCACAAGAAATGTTTTTTAACAGACTAAAGAGTTAAATCATGATAGCAAATTCCCCTATTAGTTCTGTAGAAGGTAAAACTTCCAGGAACCCAAGTCAATGAAGAGATTTCCCTGCAGGACTAGGCTAGACACGTCACCAAGGAACAGGCTTACAGCTCTCATGTATAATCAGTTCCCATCCCTATATACAAATCATAAAACATACACCTTCCTCATGTCCTCCCTTCCAAGTGCCCTTCTTTTCACAAGAAAGCTCTGCAATAAAGATGCTGTCACACCTAAAAACACTAAACCAATCAAGAAGACACTCTCATTCCACAAAGATCCCAAGCTGGTAAGAACTCAGTTTGATTCCCTATGACCTCTAGCTTGGAGCGGGGAAGCGGGGTGTGTGTGTGTGGGGGGGGTGTGGGTGTGTGTGTGGGTGTGTTGTGTGTCCAGAAGAGACAGACAAGTCTGCAAAGGAGTATCAAGATCAGTGGGTCAACTACAGTTGACTCCTGGCTGACAAACGGATGTTACCGGGGAAAGAGCCGAATGAAAGGTCTCTCCGGCCACACGTTTGCAAGATTCAAGTTTACCCACAAGCCCTCAGAAAATGAAACCAAATCAGATTAAAATGGACATTTCAAAACAACAAGAGACGCAGCATCGAACGCACAGCTGCCATTTCCCGGCCACTTCCTGCGGGAGGCTGGGGGAGGGGCAGTTTGTGTACAGATGGAGGTGGTGGACGCCATCCCCACCACCACCACTCCCCCGAAGGATACCAATCCCTCACTCCAAGAAGCTCCACAAAGGATGCCTGCCTGCTATCGGCACTGACTTCTACACGTCGGGAACGCGGGGGGGGGGGGGGGGGGGGGACACGGACGATGAGAGAGCATCGTTTCCGCACGGAAACGGGGGATCCCCTTCACAGAGGATTTCCTTGGAAAGGAATGCCTCTTTATTCTTCCCCGCAGTTCTCCGCCCGACTCAAGCGCAGACGCCTAATGTGAGTCCTCTCTACCTCCGTCTCCAGAGCAGAGGACTCTCCCGGGGCTCAAGGGCCCCGAGCCTAGCAAGCCGGCACTCGCCCCAGCCAGTCCCTCTCCAGGGTCACAGGAGAAACCAGAGCGCTCCCGGGGAGTCACCCTGCGACCCCTGGAAACCCCTTCCGCAGCGCACTCACCACCGCCAAAACCCCCGCTCCACACGAACCTCCAGTTTAAGGCACCCAGGGAACCCCCGGATCCAGCCCTGCACGCGGGCAACCCCCGCCGCCGTCCCAGGAGGTGGAGCCCCTCCCGGGCCCCGCCAGCCAGCAGCTCCGCCGCCGCCACTCCCGCCCCCGACCGGGGTGCCCCACAGCCTCACCAGCCCCCTGGGCAGGCAGACCCAGCGTCGGGCGGCGCCCCGGCGGGGAGGGAGGCCCGCTCCGCTCCCGAGCTCCAGCTGCCTGAGGGACGCCCAGAGGAGCGCAGCGCTCCCGGCCCTCAGGCACCGGGGCCACACACCCTACCAACCTGAGGCGACCGCGTCCAGTCGAGCTTGGGGCTCGCTTCTCCCCGGGGGACAGGCGGTTCACATGGCCACGCTCCGGGCGCCAGGAGGGGAGGAGACGCCCGCGGGGAGAGGGGAACAGGGTACGGGGTCCGGGAGGGGGCAGGGGGTCGCGGTTCAACCGCGGGGCCCGAGCGGAGCCAACATGGCCGGCGGGGGAGGAGTGAGTCGGAGCCGGAGGGGGCGGGGAAGCTGCGGCCGACGGACCGCCCACCGAGGCCGCAGCCACAGGGTCCTAGTGCCCGGCTTCCTCCTTTTCAGACCCAGATCTGGGTCCTAGCGCCGCTCTGAGGCCCTCACCTCAGGTCCCCGCTTCACCCGCATCTCCAGCCTTGCTATGCCCAGGTCAGACTGAAAGGCGAGCCCCATCCCAGGGTTAGCCTAAACGACTAGAGCACATATCTAGGACCAAAGGCAGATGAGGCTTTTCTAACTGTAAGGGAATACCTGGAGGATCATTTCGGGGCTGTTTATATCCTCAGCAGGGTGGCGAAAAAGTGGAAATTGACAGTTAGGGAGAGATTGACACCAGGTGAAGGGATGAAGGGAAGCAGAAGTCCACTCACCTATGTTCTGTAGGGTCAACCTTGTCCTGCCTGGATCACCACTTTCCTGGTGACATCTGCAGGGCCTTGGACGTCGGAGAGATTCCTGCACATGAGGAAAGGAGACTCGGCTCTGAGTCTAGCCAAATGTGGCCAGAAGTAGAAAATGAACAGCAAACCAACCAACAAATAACATGTCCCAGTGTTTACTCTTCCCATAACTCTTCTAACAACGTTGCTGAAAGTAAAATTTAGCAAGGAATTCGAGTTTGGCTTTCACCTAAATGTGTATTTTCCGGGAACCACGATGGGAAATAGTGTCATACGATGTCAGTTTGTTGATTTTTTTTTTTTCCAAGACAGGGTTTCTTTGTATATCCCTGGCCGTCCTGGAACTTGGCGTGTAGACCAGGCTGGCCTTGAACTCACAGAGATCCGCCTGCCTCTGCCTCCGCGAGTGCTGGGATTAAAGGTGTGCACCACCACCAACCACGCTTATTGATTTTTTTTTTTAAGTCACACTTATCATTTGCCAGTTGAGGAAATCAAGAGCCGCGGAAATGCACTGACTTGCTCAAGGACATACATTCGCTACCACACAACCAGTAAAAAACCTTCATCCCCTTCCCTTACAAGTCAAGCCTTTTCTGGCTCCATGATTTCCATTCAGGTCAATGAAATGCCGTTCTAGGATACAAACAATTGCCTAAACTATGCAAAGCAAAGGCTGAATACCTAGGAAAACGCACAGAGAAAGGATAATGAAATCCTGGGCGGTTGGATTTCAAATACCCTTTCCTCTTGGGGGATGCTAAGTGATTGGGAAGTTGGGTGTGGATAGAAGATGGTAGCTCCAGATGCAGCACTCTAAACTGGATTTCCCCACTTCAGAGGGGGGATTCTGAGCGTGGGAAACATATCCCACCCATCTTTCCAAGTTCAGCTCAGAAAGCATTAAGATCTTAGAAAAGTTGCCAACAATGTGTGCCAGCAGAGGTTAGGGCTTCCTCTCCCCAGCCGAGGTGAGGAAATTACGGAGGGAAGGAGGAGACAGGCAGAAACAAAATCCTCTCTTTCCCGTCCAAATGGGTTCATAAAGTCGGCTATGGTGGCCCACGCCTGTAATTTCTACACACTGAAGAGGTAGAGATGGGAGGACCGCCATGAGCTCAAGGCCAGCTTGGTCTACACATCGAGTTCCAGGCTAGCCGGGACAACACGGTGAAACTTTGTCTGGAAAAACCAAAAGGAGATTTATAGGTCACCTGGGGATAAACTTAACGCCTCCGACAGTCCACTAACCGCAAGCCCTGCTAGAGGCTATGCTCAAAGCCGGGAATCTGTCCTTCTGGAGAAAGGAGAAGTGAACTTTCGCTAAGGAATGCTAGCCCCAAAATTAAAAATAAAATAAAAATAAAAAAGGTTACGTTGGAACTGGCACCTGTGTGCAGGAGGGGGAGGAGGCAGGTGCACAGGAAAAAGCTGGTATCCTTTTTTCCTCCTCTTCCTTTTCCAGCGGGGACTCTTCCTACCTCACCACCGGGCTAACCAGTCCGAGACAGGGCCGGCAGGGAAGGAGCCTGCGCCAGTCAGACGTCCGTGACCACGCCCCTTCGCTTCACCACCACACACCCACACACACCCACTGCTGGCTCCGGAAGAGCCGGTTACTCCTGTGCCCCACTGTCCCCACCCCTTCCGAGCCCCAGGCCTTGTCTCCTGGGCAACCTCTAGGCCCTAACCCAGCCCTGAGCCGGGAAAGAAAGGTGTGTGCCAGAAGACCACTTGCGATCATAAGAGAAAAGCAGGGGACAGAAGGGCTGACAGCGATCACCTTCAACCCCGAATAAAATCCTCCTTTATCCCATTTAATCTGGGATATGGGTGGGCTGGGAATATGCCCCAAAGCTAAGTGTTTACTTCGTGCCCGACGCCAGGACCTGCAGCCCCTGTGACCCCCCTCCCCCACGCCAAATTTGGACAACAGAGGGCAGGCTGACCCCATATGTCCCCAAACATTTCTCAATCCCATAAAATGGGGCTGGTTGTCCACCAAGCCTCGCCTTGGATACTAACAAAAGGAGCCAACCGTCATTTCATCAGCAACTTGTGAGAAGAGTGGGAGATAGATAAGCTGAACCTCCTCGGAGGATGAGAACTGAAGGGGGGGGGGGTGAACACCTGCTCCTCCTCTGCCACACTCTCCTTGTTCCTGCTGAACCTCTCTAACTCTGGGTCAGCTGCCACCGTGCCAGCCACGGTGGAGGCAGATGGTTGGGGCTAGGAGAGCCTTGATGGTGTAACAGCCTAGTTCTCTTCCCTTTCCCCTTCCAGACACTCCTAGCGTCGAATCCAAGCACCACAGGCTCACCCCACCACACACACACACACACACACACACACACACACACACACACACACACGGCCCTCCCAGCACCCTGGGTCGTGACTCAGAAGAGTAGAAGGAATCCTGACGCCCGGGCCTATCACTCTAGAGGCAGAGGCTCCAGAGAAGGAGCTAGGGGCTCAGCTGGACTTGGCGGAAGGGGTATTCCCTATTGAAGCTGGGGTAATTATAAAGACCGCCCACACGCTGACCGAAGCGACGGCTCTCCCATTGGTCCCCTTCACCATTCAGGTTCAGGCAAGACAATCGCAAAGTTATTTTGGGAAGGCTAGTCTCTCATAATACACCAGAAGGAACATAAAGGAATATAAGCCCTCCCCTTCTCCAAGGGGGCCTGCGCCCCTCAGTTTTAGCCTTATTTCCAAATTTCCCAACGGACAGCTCCACGGTGGAAATGTAAGACGGCGACAGCTTTTTTTTTTTTCCTAGAGAAATGTGAAATAGAGAAGATCGGGTTTCCTCTGCCTTACCCGGCACCCCAAATCCATTAGAGACTCAGCCTTAGTCTATTCTGCCGCAACAGCCGCTAAGGCCGGGTATCACAAGGTTCCCGCAGCGCGGCTGCCCCCAGCACCCGACTAGGGGAGGGGCCAACCCCAAGCCGGGCGGAGGGCCCTTCCCACCTGCATCACTGGGCGGTGCTCGGGTCCGACCCCAAACTCCCGGGCATAAGCTTTAGGTGGGACTTAAATGAACTTGAAGGGTGAGCGAAGCGAGGCGGACTGAGCCCGTAGAGTGCGTTGTCTCTCCCGCCCCCTTACGACGAGGAGTTGTTGGGGTGGCGGTTATTCCCCCTCCCATTGGGGTTAGGATGGCGTGGGAAAGCGCTAGTTCCAGAGAAGGGGAGGCGAAACCTAGACCGCGGGAGATCTTCCTGGCGAGGAAGGCGCGGGGGAGGGGGAGCTCCTGGGCCGGAACAGGGGTTCCCGGGAGAGGATGGCGGAGAGGCGTGAGAAGCATCCCGGTCACAGAGGACAGGGGAGGAATGGGCGAGGAGACGGTGCGGGGGAGAAGACGAAGGGCAGCCGGCGCAGGGAAGGTCAGACCCTGGATCCCACGGGAGGAGGCTGCTGCGGGGACGCCCTGCCCGGGACTCCGGGCCTGGAGGTGGATGCCGGGCCTCACCTGAAGCAGGGCCGGGCCGGACGGCGGCGGCGGCGCAGGTGGCGGAGCCGGGCGGCGGCGCCTCCTCCCCCAGCCCGAGACCGGCGGCGGTGGAGGGGGGAGGTGGCGCTTAAAGGGGCAGGAGCTACCCGGGTGAGGACGAGCGCTCAGGGACGGCTGTCGCGAAGGATCCGCTGGGGGAGGGGAAAGAGGGTGGCGTCTCCTAGGGGCCAGAACCAGAAAGGATCCCAGATGCAGGAGAAGACAAACTTTGACGACGTAGTTGGTGATGGCGGTGGGTCAGAACTGGAGTACTTGAAGATCTCTCTTTCTGCGGGCACTCTCGGGGCGCCAGCAAAGACTTATTCACAAAGGACGCTGGGAAGACGGTGGGAGCCACAAAGACTCAAGGAGGCCTAGGGGAGCAGCGGAGCAAGGCCGAGCGTGTCAGGGTCACGCACAGCGCCCTGCTAGGCAAACATGCTTCTTCCGGGCCCGATCCGTACTACAGCTGTGGAGACTCTGGAATCAGGAAGCCACAAAGGCAGAAACCTTCCCTGTCCTGTCTGTCAACCCTCTGGGTATTGTAGAGGCCGTCCACAACGGCGGAGTGAGGCTGTGCAGGACTGTGAGAATCGGCTTTATTCATAGCTCAGTTTGGCCCCAGCCACCACCACCACCACCACCCTTGCAGCAACCTCTGGGGCAACAGGAAGCAGCTGCTCAGTGCAGCCCCGACCTGGTGGTGGGTTAGAATGGGGGAGGAGGAAAGACTGGAGTTTAAAGGCTTGAGAGAAACAAGGGTAGGGGAAGCTTCTCTAACAGGACCAAGACTGGACTTAGTAGTGAATACTACCTGAATCTCAGCAGCTTAATGGGGGGTGGGGGAATAGGGAGACAGAGGACAGTGGGGGCGCTTCATGGGGAAGGAAGGAAGCCCTAACAAGATACAGCCCCAGGCTCTTCCTTAGAGCGGAGTTTGCCAATGCTAGGGTCTCATGTCCAGAAGCTCATTAGCCCTGTGTCCCCCCCCCCACGGTCCATTTCCTCTCCTTCACCCCCCAAAAGAGCAAAGGTTAGGCCCCACCCCTGCTGAGTCAGCCGGGGAGGGAGCTAGGCATCCCTTCAGGCCTTTCCCAGGGGCGGCTATCATACTTACCCATGTCAGGCTGGCAGGACTCCAGATTAGGACCCAGCTTCTCACTGTCCTTGGGTCTCGCTTCAGTCGAAGGCTGGCGTTAGGTTCTCCCCAACTGTGAGCTGGGAACTCGAAAAAAATAAAAAGAAGCCAATGTATGCTTCCTGCGAACCACACAGGCTGAACTGCTGTAGGGTGATGTCCCTGTATGACAGACTGGGGTGGGAGGGAGGAGAGAAGGGCGGGGCTTTCACTGGGTGGAGAGAGGGAGGAGGCGAGGACAGGGCCGACCAGGAGAAATATGGAGGTTAGAACTCTGTTAACACTCCAGGACCGTGGTCTTGGAGGATAGCAATCGAAGAAGGGAACAGTTTCAGCTAAGGAGAGGTAAAGGTTCAGAAGGTTCTCTATAAATACTGGAAGACGTGAACACCGAGATGCAAATGACCTTCAGAAGATCCGTTTCCAAGTCTGTATTTCGGTGACAAAGCAGAAAAGGTGACCTGTACTCTTAGGTCTCCGCCAGCTTCTTATCCACTGTATTCAGGCTAGAGGAGGTGTCCCCACCCCCATAACAGCGTTTCCCCAATCTAAGCTCCGAGAGCAAACTACCAAGCACAAACAACTCAGGGGCGCCACCTTCTGTCCAGATCTTGACACGGGCGGGAGTCAAGGACGTCATAGACAGATAGGAGGAAGTTCGAGGCTTCTACTCCACCCCAGAAGCCTCTCCCAGAGCCCTTCCTCAACCCTTTAGGCCACGGGAGGGGTGGGAGGGGCCGCTGAGAACTGGAGTATTGGAGTTCAGCAGTCACTGCCCAACTTCCATCCTGTGTGGACAACCTTGCAAGGTGGAGCTTATAGATGCAGGCTTTCTCAGGACAAAAGCTCCAGCCCATTTGTGAACAGTCATTAGATGACAGAAATACTCCTAGCAAATAGCCTTTAATAGATTTCAGAATGGTGAGATTACAGTTCTTGTAGTCGTACGTGCTGCCAGAGGACACTAGCTGGGCAGACATGCTGTAGGGCACAAAATATATCCTAGTATATTGCACTAAGGTGCACAAAAACCCCAATGGTAACACTAACAATTGGTCTTTCCTTGTAACATTAAATCTTCCTAAATTCTCATAAGAGATCTTAGCCAGCAGATCCTCAAGCACAAAACATGCAAGTCTAGGCTTGTTGAAATATATTGATGCTGTATTTTAGGTACTTTCTCAAGAACGAAGGCCTGAAGAAGGCCCAGAAGACCCTCAACTGTTCTGTTTCCTAAAATATTTACTCCGTCTTGAAACAAACCATCATCCTGCAGGCTGGAGAGATGGGTTTAGTGGCTGCTCTGGAGAATGGCTGTTCAACTCCTAGCACCCGTGTGGGACTCAAATTGTTTATAGCTTTAGTTCCAGAGGAACTGATGCTCTTCCAGATTCCTGGACATTAGAAATTACCTTGCTCTGGGAGGTGGTGATGCACTCCTTTAATCCTTGGAAGAGACAGAGACAGGCGGATCTCTGGGAGTTCAAGGCCAGCCTGGTTCCAGGAAGGCTCCAAAGCTAGAGATCCTGTCTCAAAAAAAAAAAAAAAAAAAAAAAGCCAACCAAAAAAACAAAAACCACCAAAAACCTTGCTTGCACCAGGCCAGTGTGTGCATTTAAGCACATTTGGGAAGCAGAAGCAGGTTCTGAATGGGAGCTTTTATAAAGGGAGATCCAGGATAACCAGGGGTAGGTACACAGTGAGACCCTGTCTCAAACAAAATCATCTTGCCCTTTAACCAAAAACTACTATTCTGCTAAAGAGTGGGGCATGGATATTGTGGAGCATACATGTAATCTTTGCAGTTGGAAGGCTGAGACAGGATCATTGAGGCCAAATCAAGACTACCCAGTGAGATTCAAAAAAAAAAAAAAAAAAACAAAGAAGTCCCAGTACTTGGGAGGCAGAGGCAAACTCATCTCAGAGTTCAAGGCCAGCATGGCCAAAGACACTTAGAAATCCTGTCTTGTAAAACTAAAACAACAAAAAAAAGTCATATGAAATACTTGGAAGCAAGATTTGTCTGAACAAATACTGTAAGAACCAAGGCTAGGATATTAGGCCTCCCTAACCACAGGAAACTTAACAAGACCCGAAGAATTTCATTAATGAGTGGATTTTCATTTTTGATAATTGTTACAAACATAACCTGATTATGCTAAATTCGGCCTCTCATGGTCAACTGCACTGTAAGCTGTTTCAGAAGCAAGACAGACAGACAGACAAATGAGGGGTGTACACTTTATTGAAAACTTTAAATACTCTTCAGATGGGACATTGCATCTTCAACCAGGCTCTTGTGTGGCCTCCACAGAAACTGAGCTTTCAGCACGGAGAATACAGTACAGAGTGAGTTTGTGGAAGGACCCCTCAAGATGCATGCTCTTCTGCCAGCTTATCAGCCTTGGCCACAGCCTCCTCAATGGGTCCCACCATATAGAAAGCTTGTTCCGGGAGATGGTCATAGTCACCTACACAGGGGAAATACAATTAGTAACAAGTGGAGTTACATCAGAGCTCCACAGTATATACAACCTCAGCAAAGGAGGCCTTGGGCCAGATGGACGAATTCTTCATCCAAGGAAACTTTGTTAAACTTCAAAGTAAAATTTACTTTTTGTTTTGTAGGACAAGTTTTCATTACTTAACCCTGGCTGGCCTGGAACCCACAGAAGTCAAGCCAGGCGGTGGTAGCACATGCCTTTAATCCCAGCACTCAGGAGGCTCAGGCAGGCAGGCAGGCAGGCAAATCTCATGAGTTCCAGGCCAGCCTGGTCTACAAGAGCAAGTTCCACGAAAGAACTGTTATACTGAGAAATCCTGTCTCAAGGGGAAAAAAAAATCTACTTGGGAATGCTGGGACTAAAGGTGTGCACTGCTACACCTGCCCCCTTCCAAGTAGAATTTAAAACAAGACATAGGACATAGAGACATAATTAAGGCTGGGCAGTGGGGGCGCATGACTTTAATCCCAGCACTTGGGAGACAGAGGCAGGCGGATCTCTGTGAGTTTGAGGCCACCCTGGTCTACAGCGTGAGGACTGTTTCACAGAAATCCTGTCTAGAAAAAAACAAAAAACTAACAAAAAATAACCCACATAATTAAGTGTTGTGTCACACACCTTTTAATCCCAGCACCTGGAAGAGGCAGAAGATTTATGGGTTCATTGCCAGCCAAGTCTATAGAGCCAGTTCCAGTACAGCCAGAGTTACAGAGAAGCCCTGACCCGTAACCCTCTGGTCTCCACTGGCTGTTCAGGGGAGCTAACCCCTGTTGGTTCCTGTATGCACAAACATACATACACTAAAGGCATATAAGCACCGAAAAACACACACATAGATAACTTGGAGCACCTGAGTTCAAAGTCTGGCTCAGTGTCATGGGACAGTTTAATATTTTCTGTGTTAGTTAGGCGGTGGTGGTGCCTGCCTTTAATCCCAGTACTCGGGAGGCAGAGGAAAGCAGATCTCTGAGTTTGAGGCCAACCTGGTCTACAGAGTGAGTTCCAGGACAGGTCCCAAAGGTACAGACAAATGCTGTTTCAAAAAGACAAAAAAAATTTCTATGCTGTCACCAAAGCAGGGTGATGCTCCTTTAATGAAAGGGCTACAATACACCACAAAGAATATTCACTCTGGGCTTCAATTTCTCTAACATTTGTATAGTTCGCTTGGTAGAAAAATCTCACCTGCCAAAATCTGCTGGAATCCTTTAATGGTCTCCTTCAAGGGCACCAGCTTTCCCATATGTCCTGTGAAGACCTCAGCAACCTGGAATGGCTGAGACAAGAAGCGCTGTATTTTTCTTGCCCGGGATACAGTCAACTTATCTTCCTCAGAAAGTTCATCCATACCCAAGATGGCAATGATGTCCTGGAGAGATTTGTAGTCCTAAAAGAAAACAAGATGAAAAGGACAGAGTCAATTCCTTTAATTTACAACTATTAGAAAAGTTCCGGGTGAGCCAAGATTTGTGTCTGGTTCTTCCCAGTCCTGATTAAGTACAAGAGAAAAACTGGACTCTAAAGGCGAAGTACCCTGGAAACCA